TTAAAAAATAAGGAAATCTTTTAGCACAGCAGCATCAAATTAGGCAGTAGGTCAAAGTGGACCCAGGTTGCTGATTGGTGGAGCTGGTTGGCCGTCATATGCTGGTCGGAGCTTAAAACTTTCTTTCTGAAACGGGTTGTGGTATGATGTGGTATGACTTCATTCTTGTTATTTTTTAACTTTTTTCTCATAATATTATGACTTTATTCTCAAAATAAAAATAAAAAAATCTCTATCCTGGCACTAATACCCCGCCATACATTTATAAATATCAAAGTTCCAAAATAAATATTTAGATTGCCAGTGAACTATTTTGTCAGCAAGTATTTATTTTACAAACCAAACATTTATTTCACAAGCTAAATATTACATTTGTAAGCTAAATATTTATTTCACAAATTAAAAAACTTTGTTTGCAAACTAAATATTTAGTTTAGAGCTTGATTGATTGACTTTATTGTTCTTACAAATTAGATTGATCTCAAAAACTAAATGTTTAGTTTACAAACATTTGGTTTTGTGTCACTTTGTCCAAAGATGCCTGAGGTTCACAGGCTTTTGTTTTGGAAGTCCAATTCCGCTTATTAGCAAATTTCATTTGCACATTAGCTAAACATTTAGCTGGCTTGGTGCTAGCTAATGTTTATTTCAATTTAAATATTTATTTTGTTAACTTAATATTGAGTTTACAGACAAAACATTTAGCTCCAAGCAAAACATTTAGTTTGAAGCTAAATATTAATTTCACAATAAATAGCTAATTTGCAAACTAAATATTTAGTTAAACAAAATACATATTTCATTTTTTATATAAATCTTTAGCTGGTCATTTTAAATATTAATTTTGGAACTGTGATATTTATAAATGTATGAATGACAGTACAATGATGGTAAACATATGACAACATGCTAAATAACCATAAATATTGCTCTTAGTTTTTACTGTATAACTTTTCAATTGGCACACCATACACTGTTACTCATGCAGTGCAATTTTTATTCTCTTACATTAGGAGTTGCTGGCATTATTACAGGGTTACAAGTTCAAACTCCAATCACTATCTCACCACAGATAACAACTGTGAAATCCATCAGAAACACACAAAATAAACAACCACAGGAATGTTTCAAATGCTCCTGTTAAATCCACCCTTCTCTGCAGAATTAGTGTGGTTCACTTAAACTGGGGCGGTTTCTGCTTTCTGGGTATAATAGGACATTTTCCAAAGTTTAATGTTAGCTTAATTTTTTCCACACAGTTTTGACGTATTTGTAATAGTTATCCCGTTGGAACATCATTTATGTTTCTCTGTTTTTTAACCGTTTAGCTGTTGGATTGAACAGATTCCTGGATACTGATAAAGGGAGGAACGTCACCTTGTTGAGCCTTTTCCCAAAACATAACAGGAACCCATTTCTCTGAGCTAGAATCGAAATAATTAATTTTAACATGTTTGACACCTGGCAAAGCCATTGCCAGCTCCAAAATAAAGTTGAATAACAAGGGAAGCCATTACTTTTGATTTTTCATGAGCAGAAATGGAAGAAGAAGCATTTTTTGATTGTAAAGAAAGCCTGGAACACGTTGTTGGAGTAATTGACGTTTAACCACTTAACCAACAGCTGGAACATCAGCATGGGAGGAAAACAGTTTGTGATGATGATTAAAGATCGGCTAATAATACGTTTTTTAGGACGGATGCGAACACCAATTTATCTTGGACGTTTGTTTAACCAATCTTCCATACGGACGGTTCTATTAATTATCATATAATTAATTTTTATAAATAATAAAAAAGATAAACTAATAAAAATGGCTTTTGGTTCACTTTAAATATGAAATGATTAACTTCTGCCCTGTTTTTGGTTTCATTCTTGTGTTCGTTGCCCCTATAGAAAAAAAAACTTTTTCATTTACATGATAAAAAAATGACACAACAATAGCAAATTTCTTACAACAACAAAAAGAAACATTGATTAACAAAAAACTAAACATGAACCATGGATACCAAATGGAAGAAGCAGCAATGCATGTGCTACATATGATCTCACAGCATGGCTGTTAAATGCATTAATGAACTGGTGAAGTCATGCACGTATCGGCTCTCTATATGCAATTATGAGAACCGTCATACAACGAGACGCAAGTTTTAGGTTTGATATTAATGCTTTACAAATTAAGCTTCACTCCTCTTTGGGCGGGCAGAGCAGACCGAGAGCAAAAGCCAGTGAAAGTTTGAAAAGCTTCTTCTTTCTCGCTGTATGCTAGCTATCCTTGGTTGTGCTAAAAACAAATGGGTTGGGTATAAAATAAAACATGTAGGGATTGAAAAATAAAAACAACGGGTAATAAATCAGTTCAATACTCATACTTGCCATTAGGAGACAATACAGCTAGTAAACTTTTATTTCGGCCCAACAGCTGTGTGACACGGTCCACACCACACATCCAAATGCCCAAAACAGTAAAATAGCTTTTTCAAGACTAACAATGTCAGATTCAAAAACTTTTCATTTAACCTTTAGAAGTAAGACGATGGATTTTAAATTGTGCTCTCAACCACCCCGCAGCATGATGCTGCCCCTACCATGCTTAACAGCCAGGAACATTTTTAGGTTTCAGACTATTTGTGACTCAAAACTAACAACTCAATATTTCTTCGTCTGACAGGAAAACTTCTTGCCTCCAAAAAGTATTTTGCTTGTAAAGGTAAAGATTATAATCAAGCACAAAGGTTTCAGAAGCAAGGGTACATTTCCTGTGAGTCCATAGCAAGACAAAACCTTCATGCATTGAAGGAAACTCCTGGTATAGCAGTTTTAAGGCATTAATCTGGGTAGAGGATTTCTTTGAACAAGGAAACTACTGTCCAAACATGGTTAAGACAGCTGGTTGATATTTGGTAATATTGGTTCCAAAAGGACAATAATTCAAAACAAAAGCCCAAACTGTTTTTTTATAGAACAAATTAAGCTCCTTGAAGGGTTTCCTCTAAGCCCCGTTTCCTACCCGATTTGATAATCATTGATTATTCTCAACATCCACATCAAATGGCCAAGAAACTAATGACGTCTATAAACCAAGCAAAAAGAAAAAAAAAAAAAGACCAGGCAAAATGATCCCCTCCATATATTAATAAAGGAGACTCACCATCACGGTCCTCCAGTCTTTTCTTCTTCTTCCTGCGCCGACGATATCCTGAACTCAGGTCAACCGAGTCAGAAGGGTGGGGGCTCTTTTCACTCGTCTCCCCTTCAAGCTTAACCTTAATAATTCCTCCGTCCCCAGAGTCCCCCTCATCGCAATCCTCATCTTCGTCTTCCTCCGAAGAGCTGCCGAGACTGCGAGGGGGATCTGTAGTCATCAGGTCTGGCCTGCTGGAGAACAACTCCCTCAAAATGTGGATAGGTGAGATGGTAACGTCCCAATTAGTGATCCCAAAGTCCCGCAGGTGAGCCCGAGCGTGACTGGACAGGCCGGCCCGTGTGTCGAAGCCGGCGCTGCAGAACTCGCAGTGCATCAAGCTGAATGTGTCTGGGTCAAAGTTGGCAACTAAGGACGGAAAAGAAGGCAAGGAAAGTGCAAGTTTAGGGTCTCAGTTTTTTTTATATATATATATATTTGTCCTGTTAACATCTTTTTCAGAGAGGTTCAAAATAGTAACAGTGGAATTAAGAAAAAAAGTTTCAACACCACAAGGGAAACTACAAAAAAAATAAACCTACAGTTTGTTTTAAGTTGCCTCTCTTAATAAAGATCTTTATTCATTATTGTGACTTTTTACATTACAATGCGACCAGTCCTCTGCATTAAACCAATCCTTTTGGGGAGTAGTTGGCTGCAATTGAGGAGCCTTGTTCGATAAGCATCTCACTGAAATTAGTTTTTGGAACTTGGGATGTCTGGGTATGGAATCCCAAGAGGCATGTCATGAGTTTCATATCCAAGAACATGCAGGCTTCTTCGGATGCAAATATCATTCCTCTAATGTCCGAGTTGTGATGCATTTAATGAAAGGTGCTTTCTCAAAAGGGATTGTCCAAATAAACATCACTGATTCCCCGTCATCACTAATGATGAAAGCTATGTTAGAGTGGGTGTTATCCTTTGTCTAGGTGGGAAGTTTAACAAACAGGAACGACTACCAGGTATTCCTGTGAGTCTATCGGCTATTTAGGGAATCTTGCTCATCCTTTCTTTAGCTATGGTTATGGTGGAAGTACAAAAAAAAGGGAGTGGAAGACAAACCAAGGGTCTAATTTATAAAACATTGTCTGAAATCCAAATTAAAAGTACACCAAACACCCAGGAATGAAGTAGACCAAAAAAACTGATTCGTCAAACCAAATTATGCGTACCTTGTACAGATGGGTCAGAGTCGTTTTTTAAAGTTCACAACCTTTGCATGGAAGTTGGCGTACACAAACAAAAAATATCACCTTGAATGTAAATGTCAATGATAGGACTAAAAAGTAGGGCAGAGTTCAGACATAGTTGTTTGTTGTTCAACCAGCGAAATGCCTTTATAACAAGAGGGGATCCAGTGGGCAGGAGGGGTCTTACCATGACAAAGCTCCTATAATGCATTAAAGTACAACTAGTATGTTCAGTTGCCAATCAATTTAAACACTTTAAAATATCTTTACCATCAAAAGTTGCCAATGTATTGTGTAAAGAATTCTAAACAAAAAAGTAGAAAACGTTCATCTCGTGGCAGTCCCACTCTAGAAGATATTTTAGTCCCTCTGGCGTAATTAAGGTTTTCCCCAGGGTTCCTTTGCCTTTAGGACCTTTGTGTTAAACCTCCAAAGAGGGATTCCCAGGAGGCAGCCTAATTATCTGAACATCACAGCGGGATCTTTGTGATACCTCAAAGAAACTGCTTTATTATGAGCCACTTTCAGGTGACTCAACACCATACCTTATCTCTAATGCTACATTCACACCTAAAGCAGCAGAAGCAGATACTTTACATGCAAAGTCAATGGTTGACGCACTCTGAAATAGTTTGGGACCAAATGTACTCTCAAAGTGTTACTTTAACACTCACAGTGTTACTTTAACAAGTAATTTCCCTCTGGGATTATTAGAGTATAGAGTATATATTATTATTATTAACATTGCAACATTTACTGTGTGCCTACAGTTTGGATTACATACATAGAAAACTCTAAAATATACTTCCAGCCATAGCGAACAGTAGCGGCAAACCACGAAGAGGCAACCAGGCCAGAGGCTGCTGTTGAACGGGATTCCTAGTGACAGAGCACCGGCGGTGTACAGGGGTCTGAGCGGCTCTGACAGCAAAAATAATATTTGAGTGCAGGATCGTAATCTTGATGAACTGACTGCACAGATTAAGTTTTCAGGTGGACTTTCTTAATTAATAGCAAATATAGCTGCCATTGTTACAGGCAAAGAAAGGATAGGGTAGCTCCACCCAATGTGCATCAGACCCAATGTGCAAAGATGCTTCAGCTGCACGTCAGAACTAAACTTGTACAAGCATCAAAAATGAAGCAGAATGCGCATTTTTTCTGCTCCTGCTGCTTGCGGTGTGAACGTAGCATAAGGATGAGTCAAGCAACCTTGTGTAGGAGACTCATTTTAGCCGCCTCAATTAAAGATCTTGTTTTTTCGGTCTAATTGCATATCCTTTCAGCCAGTTCTGTCCAAGATCAAAATTTTCTCTTGAATAAAATAAAAGCTGCCACACCACAAAGCTGGCTATGTACAGTATTAAGCCAACTGGTGCCTACTTTGCTGCTCTCAGTAGGCGGTCCAGTGTTGCAACTTTCTTGCTTTGCGTATTTCTTGCTATATTTGGGGACTTTTCATTCCTCTTTAGTAAGTTGTTCTCAAAAAAGCAACTAGAGACAAGTTTAATGACTTTTCTCAGGGTTTTTGGTAAGTTTAGCGACTTCACATTAAAGCAGCAATTGTTCCAACATTAATGTCTCGCCACAGCAACTAGATCTGCTTTTTAATGTTTAACAAACTCCTAGAGGAAACCCTGAAATGTGTAGTTCTTTTTTTGCATGAGGTATGTCAGTAAAGCAGATGGTATGTAACTATCACGCGGGACACATCAGCTTAAAGAATGTGGACACATGTGACCCTGATAAGCCCTAATTGTGGTTTGTGCTACAATAACAGTTCACTCAAGTTCTGTTCAACTAACAATGACGTTTATGACAAGATTTTTCTAATTAACAGCTTCGGAAAAGGAGGCAACAAATAAGTTTTGCCAACATTATGGTAACTAATGCTATCCTTTTCTTAGCATGCCGGATATGTTTTATGAACTAAAGTTGAATTTATTCTAAAAGCAATAAAGCAAGAACTCAGAAGTTTCCTTGAATCTGGTTCACTCTCTCAAAAACGTGGTGCAAATTAAACAAACATGCTTCACGTATCTTCCTTCTCATATTTTTTTGAAACACTTATCTTTTTATTTCTTAAATTATATCAGAGATATAATTAGCGTTGGAGAAGAAGCTATCCAGACTACCCTGGTCCCTTTGGTAAAAAGTAACCCCCACTAAACAACTTCCTATATTTGATGGATAATCAATACCAGGAAGTCCCATTAGATAAAGTCTTTCATCAGTTTGTGAACTCAAATTTAAGGGGTGATGTAACTTGACAAGTAATCAAAACCACATCATCAAGTCCACCTTTAAATAATCAAAGTCTGAACTTCAAACTGAAGAAGAATCTGTGGAATGACTTCAAACAGGCTGATAAAGCAATCACACAAAGAAGAGTAAACCAAAAGTCAATCACGGGTATTACACACGGTGGAGGGCATTTGTTGTGACATTCAGTCTTTCACCAAAGGCCAGGTTGGTTTTGGTTGCTGTATTTGCCAAACAGGGACTTCAGATATTCCAGGAAATGGTCAGTGTTGATGTTGTAAGTCTCTCTGTGTGTTATTTTGCCAATAAAGAACAGTTCAAGTGCATCATCGATGAGCCAAAATGTTTCTTGTACTCGTTTCTTCCGCTTCATCCGGGGTCGGCTCCTGAGGGCAAAGACTCCCAGACTTACCTTTCCCCAGACTCTGAGGCGCTCCCATGCAGCCAGAGTTTCCTGGTTCATCCCCTGAACCTCCTTCCAGTGGAACATGCCTAGCTATGGCGAATTCAAAAAAGATGACTGAGCCTCCTCCACTATCACTGTCGATGTGGAGGAGAAACGGCTCTGGTACGGGTCTCTTCCGGATGACCCGGCTCCTCATCCTATCTCTGAGGGAGAAACCATCCACCATGCGGGGAAAGCACATTTCAACCTCTTGTTTCCAGGATTTCATTTTTTCGTACATGATCCAGATTCCATGACCACAGATAAGGGCGGGAACAAAGACAGACCAGTAAATCGAGAGCTTTGCCTTTTCATGCCTTTTCTTTGCCCTTTCTCTCCTCACAACAGCATTGTCATTATAGAAGCATATCCATCTACGATCTTCTGCTCCATTATTCCCTCACTCATGAACTTCCAAAAAATTGTTTTAAATAAAAACCATTCACTGGACTTTGTTACCAAGTTTGAAGATGTTTCGTTTTCCATCCAAGAAGCTTTTTCAATTCAAAATGTCAGGAATAGCTTTTAATTCGAGGTTTTATACAGCAGCCCATGATAAAACTGTGTAAAACCTTGAACTTATCGCTATTCCTAACATTTTGAATTGAAAAACCTTCATGGATGGAAAGTGAAACATACGGTAGTCAAACTTGGTCACAAAGTCCAGTGGATTGTTTTTTAACTTTTTTTTAAATGACTATGACCTGGATGACTGAGAATCTTCACCAGCACATCTCTCTCGTGAACAGGACCCCAAGACAAAATGAGGAATATATATATCTACGCCTTTAAAGAGGATTTTAACCTCCGACCAAAATATGATCTACAATTCAGTTCATTACTTTGGACTGTCAGCTTTTAAATTCATTATTATACATGATTTGGTAGACTTTTACTCCAAACCTGTTCCAATGCTTGGTTAGTGCTACAGGTTACCAAAACCCAGTTATTTGTGTGAACTCAAAGACCAACTTAAACCAATGCTGTCCCATATCCCATTTGATTTGGGCTAAAAAGAAGAAGTCAGCAGCTAGAAGTAGAGATAAACCAATACAATCCATCGGCTCGCTAACATTTTGGGCCAATATTAGGGGCTCTTTGTTAACTGCATGTTTTCCATTCAGCAGACACACCTTGAAATCAAGCAAAGCACATTTATAGCCTCTCTCCATTTCCTATCCATTGTTAATGTTTGTAATGTAAGCATTGTCCTGTTATGTTCTGTGCTACTGCTCAGACTTTGGTCAGATTTCTGTTAAAAGGGCAAACGCATGATAGGTACTCACGATAGCAGCTTTTATTAAACACACATACACAAGCAATTCCTCCTGCGCATTATGAATGTTTTATGTGTACAGTTCTAATACCATACATTTTTCAGGGTTTTTTCACTTATCTTTTTTCTCTAGCCCACTGATCGACCATATCTTCTTCCTCTAAGGTTAATAACCAACTCAGTGATAAAGGATTGTCCTTTTCATTTAGCTTCCAGGTCAGATTGGGAAAGAGTCTCAGTTATTTGGTTTATTTTAAAGTGCTGATCAAGGACATGTCGATGCATGATGTTTAGCACTAGCTTGCATTCATCAACATCATTTTCTATCTATAGCTTATTATTGTTTTGTTAAGGCAAGAAATCTAATTTAATGAATCTTGTGAAATGAAATTTGGGAAAATAAAGTTTATGAAACATAAGTCGCTCGCCTAAATTTCAACTCAATTCAAAAACACTGTATTAATCCTCAAGGAAAAATTAATAATTATGACTGGAAACAGCTACAATTTTTCTTTGAATTGTTTTTTTTGTCGTCGTTTAAATGGAGACTTGGGTAAAATGTTTTCCTCATTTTGACATTTTTATCATGTAAAGGTGGAAATAGAAAAAAAAAAAAAATCAGCCTCCAAGAAATATTGGCAGCATTTATCGAGGATTGCTTACAAATATATGATTTATGTTAAAACCTTGTACCAAATGTCACACAGGAAGATTTAGGCTACGTTCACACTGCAGGCCTTGATGCTCAATTCCGATTTTTCTTTTAAATCCGATTATTTTTTTTGCATTGCCGTTTGCATTTCCAAAAAAATGCAACTTGTATGTAATCTCCTGTGTGAACGGCAGTCATACAACGCAAGTGTCCCGCATGCGCAGTAGAGGATGCGATTGTGTTTACGGAAGTAAACATGGATGCTAGTGCTGGCGTGCATCTAGCGATCTTTCCCAACCATAAAAACACAATCTTTTCAAGATGGTTAAACATAAATACTGCTCTCCGCATCATCATCCACCATGGTTGTTGTTTTTCTTGCCGCTTCTTTATAGCAAGACCCAGAATAGTGACCTTTGTCGGGTATTAATGCCGTTCAGGTCGGATGAATGCGATCTGAACGTTCCCACATAGGTCGCATTTAAAAGATCAGATTTGCATTGGATTCAGGACCATATAGCCAAGTGGCCTGGGTCGGATTGGAAAAAAATCGTATCTGTGTTGTTCAGACTGTCATGAAAAAAAATCAGATCCAGGTCACATATGGGCCAAACAATCGGATTTGGGTCACTTCAGGCTGCAGTGTGAACGTAGCCTTATTAAAACAAGATGTTGCGATTTTCGTTCCATTGTTGTTGTAAGCAAGAAACACATTTTGTGAATGTAAAAACAAAATGAAATGGAAGGAAATGTTTTTTAAATGGAAGTTTGAGAACAAAGCAACCCAGAAATAAAACTTCCTAATTATAAAAATATTTTTTAAGTAACTTTTTTTTTATGTCTTCATAATTAAAAATGTGTCTTTTTTAGATTCAGTTTTACAATCTGCATTCTTTCGACATTCTCTCCTACTTGTGGTGGCTGCCTTTCCCCCAGAGTGAGGAATGAAAACATGTTTCTATCGGTCGTTAATGACTTTAGCAATGTTTTTATTGGTCGTCTATTGATGTGAAGAAAATGTGATCTGTAAAATGACATTTCAAAAAATATGCAATTCCTAAAACTTTACTAAAGTCTGATCAAGAGAAATACAAAATAACACTATAAAATGAGTAAAACAATTGGTGAAAATAAAATTTAAAAAGCAATATGAAAAAAAAATCCTATGAATTTTCTTTTTTAAATAAAGTCTGCAGAAGCAGCAGAATTACTCTCAAATCACAACTAAACTACTAGTTTTAGTTCTAGTACTAGTTCAACATTAAGGCTCAGCACAGTTCATTAGTGGCTTGGTTCTCTGATGACAAAGCGACCATGAGCAGAACGCGTCATCTCCTATTTACAGTCAGTGACTCATTTTGCAGGTTTTCCGGCGTATCCGGCTTTGCAATTCACAGATCTCTTCACCTGTTCACAACATAATTTCGTCTCAGCCTGTTAACAATAAATGGCATCAAAAGAGCGCAGTGAGACCTGAGATGATGCAGAGGCCGAGGCTCTCATTGAAATTTGGGCGGAGGCTATCCAGGCACACAAGTTAATGAAGGTAATGGACGCCGCCATTTATATTTGCGTAATTCCCGCCTGGAGAGCTGTAGTATCGTGGACCACCGATAGGAGTTGAGGAACCATGCTAGCGTGATGTGTAAATGGTCGTAAGAACCGAGCTCGGCACGGCAAACTGATCCAATCTCAGTCCAAACTCGGTTCAGATCGGTTTCAGAGTGTCAGTGTAAATAGGGCTTATATTATATTATCTCACATCTCTTTTTAAAAAGAATCTCGACTCTGTAAGTTGGCTACGACTTTGCATCCATGTGTAAATGTGTGTTTGTGACTGAGACTGGATAAACATGGCTCTTATGTGAAGCGCTTTAAGAGGTCAAAATAATCAGAAAATCGGCATATAAATTCAGTTCATCCAAAAACTCGGATTAGCATCAGATTAACTCAACTCATTTTGAAATCACCTGTCAGAGCTTAAAGTAGGTCAATGCTCTGCAATCGGTGGAGTCCACAGCTGATTAATTCCCCCCCGGAGCCATAAATATTATTTTCCCACTCAGTTCACACTTTGGTCTTCTAATATCACGGGTGATATTCTTAAATCTAGCTCTAACTCCTGTGTTCTAGTCTCCTTAAGTTATTAGAGGATCTGTTAGCAAAGATAATGAGAGAAATATTATTATTTATGAATGTAAACAAGAAACATTGAGAGACACAACAAAAACAGGAGAGGATCAAAAAATAAATAAATACAATTTTCTAACGATGTATATGAACTAGACTTGGCTCTTGGATGGTAGAACTTAACAGGTTCTTTTAGAGAACCAGCTGAGAGCGAGTGGGACCTAAAACTTCTCTCTCAAAGGGGATAAAGACTGACCTTTTTTCTTCTTCTTCTGATAGGAGAACTTCTTCTCAATGGCGTTGACTTCCTCTGGAGAGATGAAGTGACGCACGTTGTAGCTGACGCCCACTCGCTTCAAGTGTCCTCGTACATGATTGGCCAGGCCGATTCCGTTATGGAACCGATCGGGGCAGTAGGGGCATTTCCTCTCCACGCTCCTCAGCGCCTCCTCATCCATGTCGTCTTCGTCTGCGTCAAAGACGCCCTCTGAAAGGTAAAACGGGACGTGTTCTTCGTCGGCGTCGTCGTCTTCGTCGCTGTTGGTCGGCGCCTGGGCCGCGGTAACCCTGCTGCTTCTCCTCAGAAAGAAAACCTTCCTTTCTTTCTGCGCCTCCTGTTCTCCTTGGGCCTTTGCACGTTTCTTAGAAGGTGGTGAAGAAGCTTCTGTCAAGAGAACAAAACGCTCTTGAGTGAGATTTGTGCCAATAAAATTCACAGAATGAGATTCAAGGATTGTTACCTGCATCTTTAATAGTTGATTTAATGAACAGAAACTAAAGCTGAGTGACCGGTTTTATCAGATCAAACTAAATATGATCATCTACTCTTCCAGTATAAAGCTGAGATCAGTAATACAATCAATGGATTATAGAATTAATCATTAACTCATTTGGTAAGTGAATCGGATCTTTACATATGATATGGAGTGAGTTTTGTTCCGTTATCTTTTCATGCCAAAAAAAGGTTTCGTAAATGGAAGTTTACAAAAAGTGCAATCCAGAAACAAAACTTTGATTAAAAAAAATGTTTGGACTATAACTTTGATGTCTTCTTTTATTTTTTCAAATTATTTTATTCTCAAGTTTTTCTAAATTTTTCATTTCTTAAACTTGATTTTTTTTCCAATATTTTTTAAGCTTTCGTGTTTCCTTTTTTTTTTTTTGTTTCAAATTTCACTTTTTTCAGATTGTTTTATGAATTGCATATCACATTTTCTTCTCTTCTTTTACAAATCAAAACTCTGTTGCTAGCATCCACTCAGGCCAATAGAAATGCATCTTTGTTCCTCACTCCAGAGAAAAGTCCAGCCCCAAAAGTGAAGACAGCGGCTGTGTCCGAATGTGCGCCCTAATCACTATATAGGAAACTATATAGTGATTACGTAATTTTAAATGAGTGTCTGAATGTCTAGTGGATGAAAAAGTAGTGGACTCGAAATTTCACAAAATGCATCTTGAAAAGTAGTGATCATCCATCATCACAAGACGAGGGGATATGTCCCATAATGCTTAGTGTGGAGAGCTCTCCTAGCAAAGCATTATGGGTTTCGTCATCGCGGCCAGCTATCAACAAAAATGGAGTAGGCACCACATGTTGGAGGCGGAGTTAAATGACCAATGGGGAGAGAAAAGCAGTGATCATCTGTCCAAACATTCAGTTAACTGAGTTCACTATAAAGCCCACTATATAGTCCCTGCTGTATGTAGTGATTGAGGGATCTAGAGGTTAGGGCAGACGTTCGGACACAGATCTGCAAAATTCAATTTTGAAAAGAATGCAATCCGTACAAAAAATAAAAACAACAAAAATCAGAGAAAACAGCAGTTACTCTTAAATCCGTGTTGAATATGTTTTTCAAAGTTTCACTTCTGCATTGAATTTTTTACACATTTCTATTTAAAATCATTTATTTGCTTGCAATAGTAATGGAACAGAATTCTCTCCATAGGATGTGGTACATAGACTCTAATATCTGCCATCTGTTAAAACATAACCTGCCTACGGCCAGGCTTGGACTGGGAACGATTTTCGGCCCTAGCTTTTTTCCATCCACACCGACCCACTTATGGACCCCCCCTCCCATGAAAAAATAAATAAATAGAGGGAAAGTCAAACGCATGCGTCTCAAATGTAAAACACAATACGCATACACATTGTGGATTAACCGATCCATCTTCAAGCATCCAACGACAACCATCACCAAGACTTCTATAAAGCGGTTTTACTGGCTTTGGTATTTAACACGGACGCGACAGTGACTGCTGCTGCTTAACATCCACACTTGCACAAAGCTAGCCAGACACCCACTCACACATACAGTGCCGTCACTGAGATACCTTTTCCAGCCCGAAAAATCTTCCCAGACCACCTGGATATACGAAATCTCGCCCAATTTGAACCAAAGTCTATCGATATCTCATAAATCTAAAGAAAAACATTTTTTACCCATAGACGGCCATCCTAAACTGCCAGATTGGTTAACATCCCAACCTGGCAACCATTCATGTAAGACGGGAAACAATAGCCTTTAGATGCAAAACCCCATCATGCACCGCAACATATTTTTGCAAAATATTCAAACATAAATTCACCAAATATAAAAGAAACATCATAGTTTGGTTTAAAGAAAGCATTTTAGTTTTATTATAATTTAGTTTGTTGCAAGGATTTTACAGTTTGAAGAAATAGAAAATTGCCCCATATGCCAACCGTCATAAGGATGTGCATGACAAGGAAGGGCTATATATACTGCAAGCATCATTTAGGAAGCTAACATTGTATTACGTCTCTAGTTAGTTATTTACTGTCACAGGTAGGTGTTTCGGCCAGAGAGTAAGCGTTGGGACCGCTATGATTTAGGGAGGGCCAGCCCTCGCACGCTGAAATTATGATCGGCCCACCAGATTATCACAGATTACCAGTCCAAGCTTGCCCACAGCTGTAATTAGAACAAAACACATCTTAACGTGCATCTAATGTTTTTACACATTTTGGAATCAAGTTCATTTTTTCTAAATTCAAAATGTGTTAATTTAGATTTTTTTTTTTTATTGAAAGAATATCCGTTTGGATTATTTGTTTAATTTAAAAAATAATCCACAGATAAATCGATTACTCAAATAATAGAACGGTGCAGGTGAAACTCCAGCTTTTCAACTGGTTTTATTTATTTGTAGTTATTCATCAGTATCATGCAAGAAAAACCCAGTCAACTTAAAAAAATATATATTTTTAGCTCCGCTGTACTGTGTCACAACCTCCTAAGGAAAACATCTGACCTTTAGCAGCTAAATGCTACAATGTGTTGCCGACAGACGACTGAATGTATCAGCAGTTTGGTTCTGGTAGGTCTGTGTGCACAGTGGGGACGGGAGGTTTGAGGAATGTTAGCTTGTCCTTTTAAATCAGAGTCCCAGAGTTGAGAAGAAAACAATGTTAGACAAAATTTAAGTTTTCAGAGGTTGATATTCACTTTCCCTAATCCTTTTTTATATTTTTTAAATGATCCCTAAAAATAAAAAAAACAACATCAATCCTAAATATTATTGGATGAACATTTCAGATTTGTCTGTTGAAGGAAAAATGTTAAAATAAAGGAAACTAAATGTGTTCGTAGGTGTCTTAGTCTTTAATGACAGGAAGAGGAAAAAGGACAAACACAAACCCATCAGTCAAATGTTTTATCTTTCTATGGTTCTGTTTTTGTCTATTTCCTGTTCACTTTTCACTTAAAGACGCTTGTGGAACAACTTTAAGGAGCATTAAAACCATCAGATGGTTGGCAGCTCTATCATGGGTTGGAGAGTCTTACTCAATTATGTGCAATCAATACCTGTATGGTTGCAAAGCTGCAACTTTGCAATTTATATTCAGATTTTCTGAATAAATTTCTTGTATAAAACATTAGAATTTAGGGTGGGATAGCACTTTCACAGATGAAACATTTCATATTACATGTATGCATGTGTTGATAACATGGGAAAAAGCGTATTCAGACACTTATGCAGACGGACGGACGGATGCATGGATGGATGGATGGATGGATGGATGGATGGATGGATGGATGGATGGAT